TGTTTGTGGGTATTACTATAATTCCATTTTCGTATATAATATATATGTCGATGAATAAATAAACATATAAATATGCATTTTATTTAAATCAATACATTTGTACGATATGGCTACGTAGTAGGTACGTAACATATAATATTATTACAATTTTTACATAATAATTGGTACATGATTCCAAAACATTAATATATTTTAATAATCTATACAWTATGACACAAAATATATTATGTTGACATGCGGATAATTGACATTTGAACAGCAATTAATACATTTAAATAAAATTTWAATGTAAATCTCCATTACGACTCGTATAAAAGTCGGCCTTCTTCTACTCTGAGCCTTCGAGCGAAGGGTGGCGTACTCTGGTGTTAAATTCTGAACTACCAAACTGCCGAGATTTTTTGCGTCAATATTGTACCATGGAAAGAAACGAGAGTGTTGTCACCTTATCTTCTCTACATCGTGAATAGTGTTTTCCACCACACCGCACTATTGCACCAAGGTAGAACTGGTACCTAACCTCTCTCAACCAAATACTTGTTGATTAAAACAAATATGGTAGCGTAAAGGGACCCAATAATAATCAAGTATATATGCGCGGTAACTTTTATGTCAGACGCTGACAGACAGCGAATTTTTCGTGACAGGAAAAATTGAAATATTTTGTAATTTGTGATATCCCTTTACGCAGCCATTTTGTATATGATGATAATAATCCTTGTCGATATGTATAATAACCTTGTATATTTCAACYATGATTTGAATTTTAAATTTAAAAAATAACCGTACCTATGTAGGAATATTTAAATTGTTTAATATTTTAGAACTTTTATTCATTAAACTTATGAGGAACCTTTCATAAAATGTTCAAGCTTTTTGCTGAATGAAAATTTTTATATAGAATTATAAAAAAATCAACAAAATTTGAAAAAATTATTTTATAAAAAATATATTTCAGGGCTGTTCTTAAAATATCAGGTTAAAGTTAACGGACACTTAACTGGATATTGTGAGAACTGACTTAGGAGTTTATAGGTAAATTCTGATAAATGCTCAAATACTGTAAAATGCTCTATAAAATGAAAATGAGTACTACATAAAATATTAATCAGGATCATTTAAAACAGATTTTCTGCTTATGGAAAATCAAAAAAAAATTACAATACGTCAACATTTCAGCCCTAGAATGTCTATTGATTGATATCCTAGGGGCGGAGTGATGCCAAAATTCTTATTGGATAAAACGATAATTTCAGGATACTTTTCAATAAGACTTTTACTAATTATTACTAACATCAAAGTAATTTAATTTTATGTTTGGAAAATCTTTGTCATAAGAATTAAAAATAAATACACTACTTACAAACAGTCTTGTTATTATTGTTTCCAATAAAAACCCCTTCTGAAACACAAAGGATTGAGTGTAGAGTCAAAGAATAAGATAATAATTGAATTACATCCAACACTATTTTGAAAATACCTATATATTGCAGTCAATTTATGTATTTTTCATGATGGTTTTCAAATTTGGATTGGGGAAGGTAATTTTATCAGTACTTTAAGTTTAGATTTTGATTAATTTTGTCAATAATAATGATACTAAAAATGACAATACAATTTTCAAATAAAACCTTAGTTTATTTTTATAATATATATATGATATTCATAGACAACAACTGACCGTTTAACACGTTTTTTTTAAAATGTATTTAATCAAATAAACTCATTAATTCTAAATTATTATAGCTCTACAATTGAATGTTGTTTTAAGTTAAATATTTTTAAGTATTCARATTGAAAATGCAATTCATTAGTTGCCTTATAATTTTTTTTTACAGTATATTAAAAGTATGTATGAGTCAATAATTTTTTTATAATTTTTGAAATTCAAATTTAACAATATTTTATATTTTATTGAAAAATAACAATTTTAGTTATTATGTTATACTCAAGACTCTTCTATATTAAGGATATTTTTTAATTTAATGAAATTTTCAAAATATTTAAACTAATTGTAAATTGTTATAAACCTAACCCATCATCAAAGGTGAGTGTAACAACATTTGGTGCTTAATCAAATTTTGGCGAGTTATGAGTATGTAATATACTGTAGTTAATTTWTAAATACCGTTAATCAAATAATAATAACTAGTATATCTACATCAGTTTTCAAACTATAGACAGTTTCCACATTGAAACTGTTGGCGTAAAAATGTTATTTGACAAAAACTCTAGATATTTTATTTTGTATTGATACTTTCAAAATCCAATTTTGATACTAGTAGGTATCTATACATATATATATATATATAATATATACTTTAAAGATTTCTAACACAAAATAAAATGCGTTTATAAAAAATGAAAAAATGATTATAAACATAAAGATTTTATTATCTGAATATGAAGATTATACCAAAATACCAAATTGTATAATGAATATAAGTAAATTACATTTAAGATTAACCAAATTAACAACTAAATATRTTATGAATAACCCCATTATTATTATGTAATATTGTATATTATCAAATTCATAAGTGCTAATGGGTATACATAATAATAATTTACAAGCTGCATGTACCAATATTTAATAAACAAGTACAAAAAAAAAATAAAAATTATAATCTAAGTAAATTAAAGTACATTGATTCAGTATCAATATTGTTAAAAATAAGGTTTTAAATAAATAATTAATGTTCATATTTTGTCTTGTTCATTATTACTTAAACAGGTGAAGGCTGATAAGGATATCCCGGATATTGGGACTGATTAGATGGAGGAACCAAAGGTCTCTGTGGATATGGCTGATAGCCACCAGGTTGACCCGGTGTTGGATAACCTTGTGGATATCCTTGAGGTGGAGGTTGATAACCTTGCTGAGGCGGATAGTTTTGAGGTGGTCCAGGCTGTTGGTTGGGTCCATTATTAGGAGATTGGTATGATTGAGCGTTGGGTTGTTGTGGTGCAGGATAGTTAGGTTGAGGTGCGGGAGCAGTCTGTTGTACAGCAACAGCAGCATTAGGAACAGGTTGGTTAGGCGGTGGTGGGTATGTCTGTGTAGAGGCAGATGGCGCCGATTGAGTTGTCTGAGAAGAAGCATAAGTATTTTGAGGCGCATTTCCATAACCAGTATATGCTGACGGTTGATTTGTTACAGGACCATAGCCACTGCTTGAACTCACTGGTTGTTGAACATATCCAGCAGGTGGATAGTTAGGCGGGAAATTCTGTGGCTGAGAAGAAACAGTATTTTGTGGATAACTACCACCAGGCTGGTTGCCATATGGACCATTTGGTTGGTACTGTTGATTTGTAGGTGGATTGGCATAATTAGGATTTGGATAGTTGGAACTGGGCACTGGTTGCTGATGACCATATCCTTGACCTGGATAAGGTTGGTTTGGTGGTTGGTTGTACACGACACCTCCACCTGCTTGGCTAGTACCAACAACGGCACTACTTTGTGTAGTTGTAAAATTTTGATAGCCTTGTTGTCCTTGATACTGAGGTGATGGTCTGTATTGTTGAGAAGGTGGACCTGAAATTTAAGAATGATCAAATATTTTATAACAATAATGTCATGTTGATGTTTTATCATCAAATTACACACGAGAATTAACTATAATATTGCAAAAATGTATCAATATCACTTATTAGTTATTWATTTRGAAGGACACTACTACCCGTGTGGCACATGCTATAACCACCTTACAAAATAAATATAAAACATAGCAAAAACTGTTTTATGCGAGATAGAACTACTAGGCCTGTAGTGATAACTAAGACTCCAAATTGATATGCAACAAATTGAGAATATATCTGTGAAATATTGTTTTATTTTTTATACAACTTTTAAGAAAAGAATTTTTATTTTTGTTTTGTTTTCTATTTTTGTGTTTTCAAACTTGAATAACTTTTTTTTGTAGATCCAATATCAAAAAAATTAAAATTATATTTCACAGTTTTCTTTTTTATGTGGTAGACATTTTGTATATTAGTTATGGCTGTACCCTTTTTGGTAGATGACAAGTATATGTATAAAAACATTTTTCCACAGTTAAAGATAAAATAAATATGTAAGCATTAAGCTTATTTCCTAAAATTTGTGTATAKATAAATAATTATAAACTAGTAATGAACATAATTATAAAATGTCCAATTCCTAATAATTTACAATGCATTAAGTGAAAAGTATACAAAAATAAGCATATTTTTTTWAAATTTATAATTGTGAATAATTGAAATATYTTTTTGCATATTATGTAGATAGTTGTTTATCTATAATTTATGATTAATATTAACTGAACAAATATTTAAGGGTTAAATGAGAGCAAACACTAAAAGCGCTATAAGTTCACACTTTCATCACTTATTTCACATAATTCCTGAGCTCTAACATGAGTAGATACTATTCATTGAAATACACATTAAATTCAAAGATATTTTAAATGTACTCCCAATAAAAATAATTGCTCAAACATACGCATTGGAGCAATTGATTGTTGAGGACGATATCCACTAGGAGGCATTGGTCCTACTTGTCCTTGAGTAAACACTTGGTTCATGGCCTGTTGAGGTGGACCTTGCTGAGGCTGTTGTTGTTGCTGTTGTATTGACTGAGGATTTTGACCATCTGGTCCACCCATCATAACAGATGGTGGTGGAGGTTGCTGTTGCTGTTGCTGCTGCTGCTGTTGTTGCTGCTGCTGTTGCTGTTGCTGTTGTTGCTGTAATTGCTGCTGATGCTGTTGATGTTGTTGCTGTTGCTGTTGTATCTGGTGCATGTGCTGCCCTTGAGCTTGCATACCTTGTTGCAAAGCAATACTTGGTGGCTGTAAAAATAATAATAGGTACTAATATTAATATCCTTAATAATATACATATTTAAAATTAAAATAACACTAGATAAAATAGCAATAATTAGTATAATCCACTACCTCAACTACTACCTGATATCACAAAAGTCTGCTGGTAAGAATATTGTACAGGTGAACAAACCAGAGTGAGATACATACATGATACATTAAATTATAATTATATTGAACCAGTAAATGGTGGGGACATGGGACTCACATTCAACACATTTAACATATTTGAGACTTTCCTATAAAGTGTGGTTAAGCACCAGAGAACCATACGTCGTTATATGAAATCCTATCTGGAAAAGTTTATTTGAAGAGACAATAACACAGAGAATCTGTTTAAATTTCTTGTTGAATAGTATATCCAAAAATTGAATTTTTAATAACAWTTCATATTATTTCTGTGTTGTGATTATTTTTTCAATAGTTTTTATGATGATTTTCTGTTTGATAGATATTTGGTTGTTAACGCCAAGCCACTGAGCCATATAACATTTATCACCGCCTTATGTCGGCAGTCTTTACTCTTTAATCTAAAATTCCAATATTCATGACAGGYATTTCTTTGTATCACTAATGTTCAATATTGTATCTAACATAGTAATATATATGCTATAARTCTAATATATTATATATATAGTAATCTGAATATGGTCTACTATTATAATCATGAAATATTAATTCTAAACTGTACAACTGGGTATTTATTGTAAAAAAAAATATTTTTTTTTTCCTTTTTTATTTAAGGTTTGGAAACTGGGGCCATTAGCTGTAGGTTGGTTGGTACTTGGTAATCGTTGGGTTTTGGAACTAAAGGTTACTTGAGAGTTTAGAAAAATGTCTAGTGGATAGCCGTAGTTTTCTGCCATGCCCGAGTGGGGGATGGCAATCTCTCTCTCCAGACACAGTAACTGCCTAAAGAGAAGTGCAGTCTGTAAGCGAGGTTCGAACCGGCGACGGTACGAGTCACAGCTGATGCCTTAAAACRCTTGACCACTCCACGCCCAAAAATAAATTATTATAAATTTGTTTTTACTACTAAGTYTATTAACAGTTAACATAGCACGACAGATATCCTGTGGTAGGATGATCAATTGTATAATATGTTGAGGTKGGCAATAACAAGCAAGTACTGTTTGGTATTTTGAATTAGGTGAATACTAAGTATTAGGTATATTATATTAACATAAATTACATATTGTGTATTAAACTAAAGTGTGATAGGTAATCGAGATAACAGAATTGAGATGGTCAGTAGTAAAGATCACAAATGCTTATTCATCAATATTTCATAATAAATTACTATGGGTATTTAAAACATATTAATATGTTATAAGTTAAATAATGTGTATACATACCGGAAGCAATGATTGAATGTTTTGATTCGAATCCGCCACAGATGCCAAGTAGACTAAATTACGGTGAAGAATTTGCTGGAATCTTAAAATAAATAACAAAATATATTGTATAAAATATGAATTTTGTATTATATTTTTATTGTAGTATATTACACAATAAAATATTTAAATCAAAACATAAGAATGAAATTTAAAATACTTAATTAGTTATTTAAGCACTAATATACTCATTGTTTTACTCATTGTCTTTTACTAAAATAATTCATTCCTTTGCTTTAACAATCAATATTTTAAAATCTATGTTACCTATAAGGCAATAACAGAAAAATATTCATTTCAAAAATGTTCTTGTGCCTATAAAATAATATACACATCTACCAACCAAAATTTATCGATAGAAAATTGCTAAGTAAATATCTAACAATTTTATAATTAGGGTTTTATAAAAATTAAACAATAGTGAAATAAAATGATAGAGTCAAATCTATACTTATGACCATTTATACCACAATTCAAATAAAATAGTACAAATAAAACTAACGTTAAATGTCTTAAACTTGTTATAGGCAAACCAGTTTTAAGTATTATATAGGTAGGTTACTAAGTTGATCATGATTAATGTAAATAATTGTAACCATTGAACTTACTGAACACAATCTTGAGCTTTTCCTTTACTTTGAAATTCTTGAATAGTTGAAATCAGTTGTGCATTTTCATCAAGTATCTAAAATATAGATAAATATTAATAATTAATAACCTTTATATACCTACAAACTAAAATATTTAGCAATGTTGTCTACTACCTTTTGAGTTGGTATAATATTTCTCGAACCCCCAATATAAATAAATGATACACCTATTTTTATACACCAAAATAGTAGAACTWACTTATATCAATAGAATTTTATTTTTTGTTTTGTTCCTACCCATAAGYGCCTATTATAGGTAATACCGTAGATTGAATCAATTTTTGCCTAAAAAACATTGTTTGTCTTAAAAAATAATCATACTTATTTATATTATGCTATATTGCAGTACTTAAGTCACCGGTTTCAAAACATAGACAGCATATTTTGGTTAGGCGATACTGGTTAATACAAACATAATACAATGTTAAACTTATAGGTACCTAACTAGATTGAAAATTGTAACTAGAATTGTTTGACATAATAACCATAGAATGTTTTCTTTAATAAGGTTCCTCAGCTGTTCATAATGTAATTATTGCAAATTTAAATGGCATTATGGCACATCACAAATCACAATACAAATACCTACCTATGTATTAAAGTAATGCCCATAAATAAATAAATAAGATTGTTCATAAAATGTGAGATTTAAAAAAATAATAATAAGGGATTAGGAACTATAAAAGAAATGTAATCAATAATGATTGAAGGCAGGTTGTTTAAGTAATCATTCATAAGTAATTTAAAAACGTTGTGTAGGTAGCATCTAAAAATTAAATTAATTTTAATTTCTATTGATGACAAAAACTTATAGAAAAATACTATCTACTTAAGTATTATATTGGTAAAGTAGATACTTTTTGGTGTATTAATATTATAATTTTATCCATACCTATCATGGCAAGTAATACTTAAGGTAAGATAATAAGAATTAAATACGACCGATTAAGAGCATAAAAATGCCTAAAATGTGTATAAGGTTGGACATGAATAAGAGCAGAAAATGAGAATTTATGAGTAATGATACACCTAACATACAACGAAACAAATCTACTTTATTGGCAACAGTTTAATTTCAATTTTTTCTGCAAACAAATGTTTTTCATATGCTACAAACAATGGTAAAATCAAAATTTTGCGGRAACTCTAAGTGGTGATGTTATAGCCATAAGAAGTTGGTCATTTTAACCTGACCCATTGAGCATATAATATAGCCCAGCCCCAAGCAGGATCATTCGCTTGGTTAGACAATTTTAATTTAAAATATCTCTAGATTTGTTAAACAGTAAAATAGACAAAACTTCAAATGACTAAACTAACATTTAAATCCATTTAAACATAATTTATAAACAGCTATGATCTCACCATCATTTTCAGCACACAATCAATACATGTTTAAAAAAAAAAAATTTAATTAGAATTGACTGGTAAAGTTGGTTAAAACCTAAATAACCGTGAATCATCACTTATCTGCCATGCTAATATTCACCAAAACATGGTTAACGTATTTAATGCAGAGTTTGAAACAGTATGAAATCAAAAAAAATAATCTAAATACCTACCTATCTATAGATTAAAACCAACAGACTATGTTTAGGACACACTGCTACTCCTTAATACATAAGTAATATAGTATAGGTTAGGTTAGTATATATATATTAAACCTTAATCTTCATCTCAGATTCTTATTTTAGGACCATTGCTGCCTTCAACAAGTCTCCCCATCTCTATCAATTGTAAATACATAAATGTCACATATATTAACCTACCAATTTATTTATGGGGGGGAATATCAAGGAACATTATTCCTAAATAATGAAGTGGTTCAGCAGCATAAAACATTAATCACTATGTGAGACTTATTTAAAACTTTTGCATACCTACCTACTTACCAACTATTTATTACGACCTTATCGTAATCAGTTAAAACATAAATAATTTCGCTTACGTTTCMACCGTTGATGAATTATTATGATTACYTATACCTAATATACACACATAAACATATCGACTAGCCCACTATCCTTATAGTAACGTGTAAGAACACTGGCGGTTCTCACTTACTTTTTGGATTTGCATAGTAGGCGGCACTCGGCGGTTTTGGTTGTAGGCGGCCGCGGCTGCTGCGGACGCCATATCGAGCTGGTTTCTATTCGCGCTGCGGGCGGCCAGAATGACGACGGTGTGTGACGGTCGAGGAAGTAAACAACAACAACGATGAGCTGAAAAACGTTGATAGCAAGATCACGCGGAAAGTGTGTCGGAAAGGACGCTCGGGAACGCGTAAAACACTGGACAGTAACGGAAAAAGGGAGAAATAAGACAAACAAGATATGAAGTGGACAAATCCGACAAATCGATATTGAAGAACGCGGAGAAAAAATTAAAATGTGCGTCTGTCACTCTGTTTACTGTTGGTGTGAGGAGTGTGCGTGCGAGTACGTGCGTGCGAGCGTTCCGGTAAACAAAAACGGATTTTTTGACGCGCACCCTCGAGCCGGCGGCAACAAACAGACCCGACACTCGACCTACGACAAGTAATAAATTATAATATTGTTAATATTATCATCGTATTTAGTACTACCCGGAGACTACGAATTGTGAACATAACCATAGAAAATAACAAGATTATTAACATTATCCTTTATCCTATTTAATATCTATTAAAGGTTAGGTTCGATTTTCACCTCGAACATAAACAATAAACACTCGATAGTCCGGACGATGTGACCACTTGACTGACCGGGTGACGGAGAAAGATGTCAAAACGTAATGTGTACCAATAAGTGATAAAAAAAAACCGTAACCACTACAGACAACCGGTGTTTACCACTATCACTAATTCACAACTATAGCAACTGCTGCTGCTGAGACTGGCGAGACTGCAGAGTACACTTGTACAGTTGAGCTCTTGTGCCTGGCAGCTGATCTATGGGTGTATGCAGGGCTGGGCAAGATACCTCAAAAAAAGTATCTAAATACAAGATACAAGATACATTTATAACTAATATCTAAATACAAGATACAAAATACT